GACAGGAGTTGAGTGGTTTTTACCCCCTAGAGTCACTGTTCCAGTTCCTGAAGTCACTCATACATGTTACCTGCTCCTGGAGGGCAACTTATGACTAAAAAACTCTTTTTTTTTAAAGAAGAATTCCAAAGCCAGTATGGACAGAAGCGTTTCTCTGTGGGACTCTCAATTTATCATTGGCCATTGTTGAAAACATGGAAAAGTTTTTCTGTGTGATCAGTGGGAGAATGTGTTTGTGTGGCTTGGAGCTCCAGGACCTCACTTAACTCACTCATTGCTCTTATGTGTTGTTTGTTTTTCCTGTGTAATATATGACCTACATTTCTTACCTAACCAGGTATAGAAATCCATATTTTGTTCCCTCAGATCATTGTTCCATGTGTCCACGGTGCTTTGGGTAGTGACTGTGTTGATTTTTTTTTTTTATTTTTTTTTTTTTAGTATTTTTGGCTCCACTTCAAACTAAGTCAGCAAATACTTTGCTATTAAACCATGTATTTTCTGTGCACTGTTTATTTTTCAAAGGAACAGATAATTGCTGTTTTGGTAAAACTCTGACCACATTAAGTTTGACTCCTATCAGTCCTGTTATTTTTATGAAAGGCTTTGCTGTTTTCAGTGTTAGCAAAGCTAACAGTTACCCAGCTTCCCAGATTTCCCATTTTCCATAGTGACTTTCCCTGCCTGGGACAGAGCCACTTCAGGCAGCAGTGACTGAAAGAGCAGCACCACCTGTGGGAAATAGCTGGGTTTATTTTTTATTTTGGGTTTATTTTCTTGTGTGTTTTTTAATGGCTTGAGAGCTTAGGAGAACTTCCTGGAGCTGCTTTTGCAGTCCCAAGAAGATCTGAGCCTGTTAGGACCTCTCTGGGAAGGAAATCCCAGAATTAACTAGGTTGGAAAAGACCTTTTGAGATTATCAAGGCCAACCTATCACTGCACTCTGGTGGGGAAAATGGTTGGGTTTGGATGATGACAGGTGAAAATGGGAAAAATGTGATAATGGCAAAATTCTAGCAGTGAATTCTGTTCCCTTGGCACGTTTGTTATCAACCTTCTGGATCAAAGCAATTGTTTCTCTTCCTGGTAATTCCTGGGGATGGAGGATTTGAGGGCAGCATTTAGTGATCCTCCTGAATAATCTGTGTTGGGAAGGATCCACTTTCCAATAGTGATAGCAGTTTTGATCCTGTCATCATTACAATGGAGAATGAGGCAGAGAAGAATTCACTCTGAGCCTCAGTCGCTGAGCAGTAATCAATTTTCTTTGTTATTTTCAATTCTGGCTTTAGCTTGAAATGCAGGAGACAGCAGGGTTTGCATCTGGAAAATCCAAGTCCATCTGTGAGCCAGATGTTTTGCTGTGGAGGGAGCAGATCAAAGGATCCCAGGATCATCAAGGTTAGGAGAGACCTTGAAGCTCATCTCATTCCAAGCCCCTGCCCTGGGCAGGAACACCTTCCTCTAGACCAGCTTGGCTCCAATCAAAGATGCAACATTAGAGTGGAGTCAAAATAATTTTAAGGCTCTTTTCTGCACCCACTTGCAGTTTTTAGAGGCATTGGAGGAGCCTTCAGGGCACTGTGGTGTGGAAGGAATTCCTGAGCAATGCAGTGAAACTATGGAGAGGTGCACCAGAGGGTTTTCCTTCTCCCTGGCCCTCCTGGAAATGCAGTGCTGGGGGTAAAATCAGGCAGAATGTTTAACTCTGGGCTTGCTGCTAGTTTTGATTACTCTTTATGGATTGTTTCTGCTGATGTTCTCAAGTAATTTCTGTAGAAAAATGCAGTCTTTTATTCAAAGGTCTAATGCTGTTCTTTCTTAGACCTTGAATGATTCATGTTTTTTTTTTTTTTTTTGCTGCATTTATAAAATGTCACTCCTGTGGTTTGTTATGATGTATGGCCTGAACATTCCTGGTTCCTGTGATGCCAACTTATCCATCTTCAGTGTGGCCTGTTACTGCCTCAGCAAACAAGCCTTGAACAGTTCTGGAGCTGCAGATGTTTATTCCTTAATGGCATCTTGGCTTTCTCAGGGATGTTACAGCTCCTAAAAGGTCCAAAGCAATTTGTTCCCTGCTTCTCTGAACCTTTATCTCCCTTGTTCTTTATTCCAAATCCAGGTTCTCCTGAGCAGCTGTTTGTGCTGAGCCCAAACCAGGGATTTCAGGAGTGTTCAGATATTGAGAATTTTCCTTCCTGAAATTACTTTATGCTGAATTTCTGCAGCTGAATTTGGACAGGTCTTTCCTGTAAAGCTTTTCCCAGTGTTTCTCCCAATGCTCCCAGGACAATATCTCCTGCAGTTCTGAGCTGATGGGTTATTGTTCCTCTGTTTGGCTTGGCCTCAAGTTTGAATTAAAAAAAAAAAGAAGGATAAAAAAAAATGCTGTTACTATTTTGGAACTGAAACTTTGATTTGCAAACCACTTTTCATTATTTCACTTTCCCTAAACAAATCCAAACCATTGCAGTATCGTGATGTTTAAGTCAGTGGAAAAAATGATTTCAAAAGTTGGAATGGAAGCTTTAAGCAGTGGGATTCAGTGGTTCTAACACCATTCAGCTCCCTAACAAAGTGCTCCATTTGGAACTAATCAGAGCTTTGTGATTTTTTTCTAGGCCAATTTGGAACTGCTTTGATGTGCGACGGGATCAGATAGTATGAGCTCAGGCAGACAAGACATATGGGCTAAATTAATCCTTAGCAAGTCTAGGAAAATTAAATCTTTATGGAAAAAAAATGGAGGTTATGTATAAACAAAATGCAAATTATAAGCTGCACGCGATGCTTGTTGTAAGGAGAGTGGAGAGGAGGGAATACAAGATAAGAGGCAATAAATTGTAACAAACTGCTTGTTCAGAGATTTTTCTGGAGCTGTGTGGCTGCTCTTACTCAGCTTCAATCACTCTGAGTGTTTATATTTCTGATTATTCTGAATATTTGGAACCTGGTTGTCCAGGATAACTCAGCCCTGCCGGAGCTCCTTTCCCAGCTTGCTCCTCTGTGCTGTCCCTTTGCCAGGAGGATGGTGCTCAGCTCTCTGGAACTTCCTCCCAGCAGCCCTGGGCTGCAGGGAGAGTTTAATGAGCTCCAGGAGAGAGGCTGTGTGAGATAAGCTCAGCTCAAGACTGACTTTGGCAAAGGAAATTTCAACTCTTCCCCATTAAAGTCCTGCCAAGCTGGGAGTTTAATGATTGGTTTAAGGGAAAGCTTGGTGTTAAGTTTTGTTTTTGGTGGGAAGCTGTGCTGAAGTAATAGTGTATAATTAGATAAATATAATACTTTGGCATTTGTATATATAAAATAAGCTTTATTCTTTTGTCAAGAAATAGTGCTGAATAGTACCTGTAACTCTCTTTTTTCCTGACACCCATCTGCCATTCTGGATTGATTTCTTTACACATAGAAGCTTTTTTATGGATGTCAAGTATACAGAGCTTTCCACTTGTTCTACTGCCTTAAAGTGTGTATAAATCTATAAATGTCAATCTTAAAATGGAGCTTACAATAGGTAATTGTATGGAGTGGGGCTGTGCTATTTCTGACTTGCATTGTGTGTGCTGACTGACGGCAACATGGGATGGGAGGGTGTGCAAAGTATTGTTTTGAGCAGAAATTGTCCCAGCTCAGGGCACTGTGTCAAGTTAGCAGGGTCTGAGGGAGCCTTTTCCCTTCCAGGGACCTGGAGCTGCTGGTTTTGAGTTACCCTGAGTGAAGGAGAACTAATTTTGTTATGGCAAGATGCACGTTTTCTCCTGTGATTTGTGCCGGGTTAAAATCCGTGTGGAATTCTAATTACAGCTCTCCCTAGCAGCAGCTCAGGTTGATTCCAGATGTAACAATTGATTTTCAAGTCACACAGTTACTCTGAGTAGTTACTGGGAGTGTTTTTGTTGGTCTGAACTCCCTCTTTAAAGCATCTTTTCCTCTTTGAGGTTCTTAAACCCTTTTTGGTTTTGATGTTTCAACCTTCTGCTTGGGCATTGTTAGTAGAGAAGTTTCCATTGAAATATGATCAGGACAGGTTATTAAATGGCAAAGACAAGAAAAATCAGGGTTTTGCTAAGAATTTTTCATTGCAATCTGTTGTGGAAGTGCTTGGGAGTGCCTTGAGTCTCATCCATGGAGCCACTTCCTGCTCCCCTGGCATTGGGATGGGGAGAGAGTGGGAAGAGTGGAACAGAGAGAACTGATTTAAGAAAGACAATTTAGTAGGAAAACCAAGCAAAGCAAAGGAATCCATTCCCCATTTCCCATGGATGAGCAGGGTTTGGCCATCCCAGGGAACCTCACAGGTCATGGTGACTGGGGAAGAGTATTGGGGTCACTGAATGTCCCCACATTTCCAGACTGAGCATGATCCACAGGCCTGGAATATCCCTGGGATCAGCTGTGCTCGGCTGGCCGTTCCTGTCCCCTCCCAAATCCTCGTGTCCACCCAGCCTCTGTGCTGCTGGAGTGGGATGAGGACTCAAAAAGGCCTTGGCTGTGTCAGCCCTGCTCAGCAGTGCCCAAAACATCCCTGAGATATCCACAGCTCCCAGCACAAATCCAAACCAGCCTCACACCAGCTACTGTGAAGAAAATTAACTCCACCCCACCCAAAAGCAGCACAGTGACATAACATAAAAATGACATTTTCCAAGAGCACTTTTCCCCAGTTTTCTTTTGGAAAAGTTAAAATCTGTGGTGTGCAAAGGTTAAAGGTCTTGCAATCTCTCTTCAATTGACTGCTGGGTGACTATTGTTTAAAAAGAATTATGCTGTAAGTAGCTTTTTAGATTAGCCAAGATAATCTCAGTTTGTGAATAGCTGCTGACTGAAAGCACTTCCCTGAACTGTTACTTGGGGAATATCAGGAGTAACAGCCTCAGTTTTAAGAGAAGCCAACTCCTCCTGAGTGCCTTCCCAGGGGATCCCTCACTCCAGAGAAGGTGTGATGTTTGTGTGTTCCCTGCGTTCATTTTAATGGATTTTTGTACTTTTCTTTGCAGGTCACTCCAAGGTCGGAGACCCCCATCAATAGTGTCAGTAACAGTTTGGAAAATGTGCTCCACACATCCACACATTCCATGGAGGAGTCATTACCCAAGAGGCCTTCAGGGAAACACTCCAAAGGTGTGCCCTTTTCTTCATGCCTGCTTCCATCCTTGGTGGTGCTCAGCTTTATTTTCATTGGGATTGGATGCTGGAATTCTGCTGGGTTAGCTTGGGCAAAGGAAGTGACAGAAGGATTTGTAGGAAGTGTGAGTGTGTCAGGGAGAAATGGCCAGCAAAAGAGGAGTATCCTGATTTTCCACCAGGAAATAAGCAAGAAGGTGCTTTGAGATCCCTTCTTTTGAAACAGCAGCTTTGCTCTCAAGAAATATTCTCCAAGAGTGAATATCTTGGACATTCCACCTCTCAGCAGGTTATTTCTTGGATAAAGCATATGGTGTTGAGTGTTTCTCAAGGGGAAAAGGCATTTAAACAGTTTCACTGCCACTTCCACCTTCCTCTTGTTTTCCCAAATGGGAAACTGAGTGAAGAGAAGTGGAAGATGGGAGAGAGATCTTGCACCTTTCTCTGTTACAAAATAAATCTGGTTTTTGTCGTGCTATATTGCATGCTGACCTGGCTAAAAACTGGGCTTAGCAAATCAGGGTTAATTATTCCATTTCCACACTCCAGGCTCTCATTGCAAATATGAAAATGTCCAGGCTAAAATGTGACTAACAGTGTTTTTATTAAAAAAAATCACTGGTAAATGAGGAAAGTCTTTGAACTGGGAGCTGCCCTTTGTGCAGAACAGCTTTTGTGAGCCCTGTAGGGCAGAGTTAATCAGGGGAAATATCTGCCCTCATATGTTGCCTTCAAATATCATTAAAAATTTTGTCAGGCACCATCTAAATTTGTTTAATTTGGAATTTATTCTCTTTTCTTCTCTACCACTGGCTTCCTACAGAACTTTGCAAATACAGTTTGATAGCACAAAAATCCAAGAATTTCAAAGCACGACTTCAGCTCAGAAAGGGTAAAATGTCCCAAGAAATGTTGATTTGCTTCCACCAGCCCTCCTTTTCTGTGCCACACTCCACTGTAATCCCAGAAGTGTAAGGAGCAGTCATTTTTTACAGCACAGTAATGCTGGAAGTAGCCATTTCTCCAGCTGTAAAAACCATCAGGGTAGAAGAAAACGCAGCACTAAGCAGAAGCATGGCTGGGTTTGTGGCTTTCATCTGATTAAAAATAGGACAGGGTTCAACTCTGTTTTCATTTGTACTCAGTGATTGCTATTCCAGTACCATATATGCTAAGATTAGTCACGGTACGCTGTGAAAATTAATTAGGTTTTGCTCTGATCTGTTTTTCTCTTATAGGATACCTGCCTCGTGTTCAGTTTAATTTACAGACTGCCTCAGTGATGGTTGGGAAAAGGGGGTGTGGAACAAACACTGCTATTCTGCTTTCTGCTTCAGCAGCAGTGTTGAATTCTCCTTGATGTCTTGGGGTTCTGTTTCTTCAGCTTGGAGTGCAATTTAGGATTATTTGCCACCTGAATCAACTGTTGCTGATTTATATTCCTCATTTTCATACCAAACACAGCTCTTACTTTAGCAGGGGCCACCAACTTTTTAAGCTGGAGCACATAAAATTGTCATGAAAACATGGGATGCTTGATTTTCATGTTGTTATTTTTTAGTGAGCCTGGTTTCAGACAGCTTGACAGGACAGGATTTCTCCCCAGAAGTAATGAGCTGCCCAAGGTCATCATTCCTCTCCTGGCAAAGCCCTGGAGCTGGAAGTGTCTCAGTTAAAAAAGGCTGGAGCTGAAACATGAGAAAGAAAAGAAAAATGAGAAAGGTGCAGTATTTATTGTGCTTAGCTGGATTAGAGACAGTTTGCATTAACCCAGGGAATGTTTTAATCCTGATTTGGAGAAATGTCAGTAATTTAATTTACTCTCCCCAGCTGAACAGTGACTGGGACTGTAGTGGCTTGGACCTGAAAGCTCTCAGTGACTGTGTTTTCTTTAATCCACCACTTTTGGCATCAAATATTTGAGTTTCTCCATGGGAAGGAGGCAGGAAGAAAGGAAGGAGCATTTTGCTGGATCCTCTCAGTGGCAGTGTGTGCTCTTGGAAGTGGTAGCTGGGAATGTTCATACAGCTTCATGCAGAGACTTGTCAAATACCTGGGAATAATTTCACCAGAATTGTGCTGCCTCAGGAAATGAATTTATAACAGGAGTGTCAGCCTGAGAAGTGCACAAACCTTTGCTTTTACCTCAGAGGCCCAGCTCGCTGTGGGAGCACTGTCAGACATTAAATCATAAATTATGGAATGATTTGGATTGGAAAGGACCCTAAAGATTGTCTAATTCCATGGGCAGGGATGCCTTCCACTGGCCCAGGTGCTGGATCCATGCTGCAATACCCAACTTGTTGAGAGTGGTGACCAGAAAACTCTTGGTTTTTTTTTTAAATTAAAATTCCTCCATTTTTCCTGCTGTTTCTCCAAGCTAAGCCCCTCTGTCCCTGTGTACATATCAGTGGGAAAACCAGGTGGACATTGCTTCAAAGTGAAAGTTGTGGCCCTGGGAAGTTCTGTGCCTGCTGACATAAATATTTTGGGGATCTGTGCTCTATCTGGGCTTTTCTTTTATAAAATAAAGTTTAAAAATTTGCCCTGTGCAAGTCGAGGAAAAAAAATGCAGATGGGTTCTGACAGAAGGATGTGGAGCTCTGGTGAAATCCAGCAGCTGTAACATGCTCTGTGAATTGTACTTTTTATTCCTATTTTGACCAGTGATGTAGGGCTGTCCAAAGCTGTTTCCATGGACGTGGAATTGTTTTAACTGGAGGTAACTTTGGGAAGTGGAGCTTTCCCTCTCCTCAGGATGTGCTGGAAGCTGCAGTCAGGATTGTTCACAGGTTTTGAGGCACTGACAGATCTCACTGGTCAGGCAGAACAGAGATAAACACACAGATTCTTGGGTTACATATAATTAAAATTCCAAGAGGGATGTGTTGCTTTCTGTCCCTCTTCCCACTGTTCCTAGAATGTAGTCTGGTTTTAAAAATGGTTTTAACACCATTTGAACTAAACGAATTCAAATAAAGGTTGGGCATTTTTTTGTCTCCTGAGCCTTTCCCAGTAGTAAGGCAGTTAAAAAAAGTCACGAGTTAAAATTGCTTTTCACTATTTTGTTTTGCAGGCAATCCTCTGCTGGTAGCAAAGGGAAATTCAGGAAATTCCATTTTTATTCCAAAGTTCAGGAGGATCTATGTGACCCATGGGAAGCCTCGTGCACAGAGCTAATTTTTAACAAGCCTGTGGATGTAGAGTTGGGGTAATTCCCAAAAGAGAGTAGTTTATTGGTTATCACAGCTGACTGAAGAAATCAGCTTATTTTTATTTGTTCAAAAAAGCCATAGGAATTTTCCATGCTCCAGAGATGTTGTTAATTACTCTTTTACTGTAAGGTTCCAAGGATTTGGCCATTAGGTGGATAGCAGTGGAGGCAAGTCCTGCTCTCTGCATGTGGCATATTTTAGCAATGTATTAAGCATGCTCAGTGACCACAGCATGTTTTCCAAAAGCACAGAGGAATGAATTGCATTAACCAGATGTTGAAGTGCAGAACAAAAGCATCTTTATAATAAAGACAACATAAGTTACAAACATCCCAGGACAGAGACTGTGCAGGTTTCATCCTGCTGTCAGTGCTGAGTAAAATCCTGATTTGTCACAGCCTTTGGGTGAGTTTCCTGCACTGGAGATTTAGAAGTTGCTCATCCCTGCTCTGACCTTTAACAAGTGGCACTTCCCAGAACAGCCTGGACAATAATTTCCTCAACTGAACAAGTCTCATTTTCTGCAGAGTGACAGAAACTGTCCTATTCTTGTGTTTCCTGTATATTTATCTTGCCTTTCTGCTGTTGCCACACAAAACCCTCCAAATTGTCTCCACGCCAGCCTGATCTCAAATGAGGCAACTGTTGAAATCTGATCCTTTTAGAGTGAAGCTGAATCATAATTCTTGCAACACAGGATCTAAGGATAGGCACAAACTGCTTCTGGAGAGTGAGGAGTAAAGCTTTGAGATGGAAAATGGGGGCAGGATTTATTCTACAATCTCTTCTCCATTTAGCTCTGCTGAGCACAGGAAAACCAATTGCTTAATTGAAGGGATACTCTGAGTGCACACACAAAGCCTTGATGTGTCCCAGACTTGGATAAATACATGGAACAGCACATGGCTGACTGGATAAAAGTCTGTGGACTTGAAGGAAAACAAGCTCTAAGTGCATCTCAGGAATATATTGATTTAGTTTTCAATCAATATTAGGATGGAAGTGTATCCCTGTTTGAATACTCCTGTTGAGCCCAGGTGGGTTGTGGTGGTTGTCACGTGCAGCAAACGTTGGTATCTGAATTATTTCATTACAATAGTTAGCAGCAATGTGTGATGTCAGCCTCCCAGAACTTCTCACCACTATTTTTGCTGCTCTGTTTTCCTTGGCAAAATGTGTTTGTACAGTCTTGCACCTTTTTTTTTTCTCTCCCACTTCCTTGACTCATTCTTTTTCCATAAGAAACCAGGCTGCAGGAGCTCTCCCAGTTTAATGGCGGTCCACAGCCTTTTCCTCTTGAAATGTTTGATACCAGTCTGCTGAAGGCAGGCACAAAATACAGGAGGAGGGGAAAAAAAAAAAGCTCTGAAATCTGTTTTGTTCAGGTCCAGACTTCAGACTGCCTTGTTCTGCATCAGTTGTGGAGCTGGATTATTCTATTTTTAAATAACTGCATCATCTCCAACAATATTGGGTCAACTACTGGTAGTGTAGGGCTTAAAGAAATATTTAGGCTATGATAATCCTTCAGGAAAAATCTCCCTCTCCCAACTGTATATAATTTTTCAGCTGTTTGTGTATGTCCTTGTTCATATTCCCTCTGAAGGGAGAGCTGTGCTTCTTAACTTGAGCAATGTAGGTTGAGATCACACACCAGGCACTGCGTTCCTGACCTTCTGTCTCTGCCACACGAGTTGTTTGAGGAGTATCAAGTATTTAGAGTGAATTCTAGAAGTCAAACCCAAGGATTAGCGTGCTCCAAAAAAACATGTTTTGATGTTG